GTGGACCGTTTTCGTGTTTAACGGGAATTCAACGGGATTTTTAAGAATTCAACGGGATTCAACGGGAGTTTAATTCCCCCGTTCCCCATTAAAAAGACACAGAGTGGATGAGTACTTCCTGTTCTCAGAGGCGGCAGTCAACTGGCGTAAGTCTGTCTACTTCTTACCTCATCCTATGTCCTTGGAGTCTGATTGGGGAATGAAACGTGTCAAGAGAGGAGAAGCAGAACGCTTTTTAGGAGTAATGGTACCTTTGGAATCCTGTCAGGAAACTCAAGAAGAAATTTTGCAGAATCGACTGGTGTGGAAGATTAAGTCTTGGAACTCTGCCCCTCACCTCTCACTCTTTGGACGGGCAATGGTGGTTAATACTTCCTTGATGTCACTACTCAATTTTGTGGGTAAGGTTCGCTTACTGAGTCCCTCTTGGCGCAGTCTAGAAGACTCTCCACAAGATTCCTATGGAAACCCAGGGCAGAGGTAGATGAAGGTTTTATCTCGAAAGTGGCCTGGGAATTAATTGCCCAACCACGAGATGAGGGAGGACTCGGAATCAGGGATCCATCCAGGCAAAATTACCTTTTGTTGGCCAGCTGGATAATCAAATTAGCCAACTGCAAAGGAACAGAACATCAGATCCAGATGTGCGAGCACATACTTGCTTTGGAATGGGAGTTAGAGCGAGAGGAAGATGTATGGTTATGTCTCCAATTGGACTCCTTCCTTGCTAGGAAAATTCGGTCAAGATTCTAGTCAGATGTTATTAAGGCATGGAGGAAAGTTAAGCCGAATACGTGGCTTAGCCCGGTTACAATGGAAGCAGTCTTGAACCAGCCCATTTTTGACAACCCTCTGGTCGTTGACACTGATGGTAACCGACTCAGAGCAAATAAGAGGCCAGGTTTGTTTGGTGATGGATGGATCAGGAAAGGTGTGCTCCGCATTTGGGACCTCTGGGACTCCAGAACGAGGCAATGGTATTCAGAGGAGGATCTTCGCAGTAAGTTAGTAGGATATCACCATATTGGTGAAAAAAGGTCAATGCTAATCCAAGCAGTCCCCCAGACTAGGAAATATCTTCTAGCACCAGTCTGAGAGGTGGTAGACCCGCCAGGAACTTGGTATATCACCAGGAACCCTCCAACTCAAGTGGAATACTGGAAACTGCAGTCATACGAGGCTGATGGGACTCGGAACCTTCAAAGGTGGGAGAGACAGGCTGGTACACAACGGTTGAAGTTGAGTGAAGAAGTCCCTACGAGCCTATGGCACCTGTATTTAAAACACGTAAGAGTACAAGAGTCCTGGGAAAAGGAAGACCGGCTCATGGTGATATCTCAATTGGACCAACCAATTTCAGAACGGAACCTTGATCCTTCTGCATGGGGATGGCGAGGTTTGGGGAAGGATGGTTCCACTTTGCTGTTGGACCAAATGAAGTCAACGTCTGATCTCCTACAGCCCCTAAGACGCCCAGTGACAGTGGCCGCAGGAAGGTGGGAAAATGTACTAACTGGTACAGGGGAAAAGGTAATTGTAGCTATGGAAAGTTTGAAGTTGTTACCTTCACAAAGACATGCTGCAATACTGTGGTCACTGTCACTTCTGGTCACTCCTTCTGCTGTCTGGCTGGCAGGCAAAGGAATGGATATCCAACTGGCCTGTAAACGCTGTGTTTGGCCGTTTGAGTCTACTTCCCACCTATGGTGGGATTGCCCAGCATCAAGGAGGATGTGGGTGTGGTGGTCAATGCATTGGAAGGATTTCTCAGAGTGGGACTGGGTCCTTTTGGGAATCCTTTCAGAAAATGTCCATTTGTCAGAGGGTTGTGGTTATGTTGTTCAAGCCTGCAGAGCAATCATCTGTTCTGTAATTTGGGACAATAGGAACAAAGCAGTGTTTCAGGGCAGAGGCACCTCTGATATTGAGAGCAAGTCGAGTATCTGTGCGAGACTAAGGCATTACATAAAGGCAGATTGGAATACAAGGAACAGTAGTACATTGAGGACTGTCACAGGTAAAGGCTTTAGGTGGTTTTTGAGGACATGGGGTCTGGGTAAGAACTCCAACTGGTTAGTCACTGTGAATTCAGAATGTAGGTTGCGATTCTGCTCTTGGTTGAAGCAGTAATAACAAGTCATACCAGGACACTCGGTGATAATAGCCGCAGGAGGCAGGCAGAAGCATGTTGTAGCCTTTATTCTTATTCTCCTTTTTCCTTTTTGGTTTGCACCTTTTAGTTGATAGTTTTGTTCTTAAGGGCTATGCAGATGAAGTGTCAATTTGGGAGGGTTACCCTGTAAAATCAGGTCGTCTTAGACCTGGTAGCAGTCCAAGGAGTATGATAGTTTTGGATGGCATCGCTTTTTCTCCCTTTCCTTTGTTGCTGTTTTGACTTCTTTTCTCCTCTTCTCCTTATAGGTAGATGAAGAGCAGATAGCTCGATTGAATGAATCGGTATAGTACAGCTAGCGTAGGCTAAGTTGTCTACTGGTTGGGTAAACCAAAGCTGGGCAATGAGCCTAGTGTCCTGTTCTCACCGGGTTGTTTGTTGAGGAATCCCAGCCTCAAAGTCTTTGTACTTTCATAATGGATTCTCTGCCTTTTCCTGGAAAAAAAAAAAGAACAGTTTCATCCGTCACACCGTTGAGTTGCCTCAACGAAACGGTGCAAGTGCTACATGGTCCCCGGCCATATCTGGCAGCATCAGCCAGCTTCATGTACAGGCAGTAGCCTGCGAATTATGCTCAGGCCAGGCAAAATTCCGCATTGCTTCCCACGGAGAAAATAAAAAAGCACGCATTCCCACAACAGCCCTCAGTTGTGTTACATGCTGCGCCTGCACACGAGGGCCATTTTCCAGGCCCTGCGTCCCTCAGGCTGAAAGCCTGAAAACCAGGGCCTACAGGCCCCGTGTCTGTTTCAGCCAGACAACCTGAAAACCAGGGCCTACAGGCCCCGTGTCAGTTTCAGCCTGACAGCCTGAAAACCAGGGCCTACAGGCCCCATGTCTGTTTCAGCCTGACAGCCTGAAAACCAGGGCCTACAGGACTCGTGTCTGTTTCAGACTGACAGCCTGAAAACCAGGGCCTACAGGCCCCGTGTCATTTCAGCCTGACAACCTGAAAACAAGGGCCTATAGGCCCTCAGGCTTTACCTAGAAGCTATCTGGAAACTTCCCGGAAGCTTCCTCAGGCTTTAGCCAGAAGCTACCTGGAAACTTCTCGGAAGCTTCCTCAGGGTCTAGCACGTTTGGGCATTGGCAAGAGCAGCCTCCTGGACGGGCCAGCACTATATAACACTGGCGCGCCCTACAGGCAGGAGGTAGTCTTCAGGATTCGGCAGCAGCACTCTGGAGGAGCGCTGCAGGAGTAGTATTAGCGCTAGCAGTAGTCTTCAGCACTGGGCGCTTTGTAGCATTAGCAGTAGTCTTCAGCGCTGGGCGCTTTGTAGCATTAGCAGTAGTCTTCAGCGCTGGGCGCCATAGCTAGAGTAGTACTAGAGAGCGAGAGATTGGGCGGAGGCCAGGGATACTTACCTGCAGTGCCGTTGCTCCAGCTTCATCTTTGAGGTACATGCAGCACAACGCCATCTTCACAGGTTAGTACCTGGCACATGAGAGAGAGAGGGTTCTTCTTCTTCCTCTTCTCAGTCCACCATCTCCTTCTCACCCTCCCTCTATCTGACTTCACTGCATCCGCAGAGTACGAGAGAGAGAGAGAGAGAGAGAGAGAGAGAGAGAGAGAGAGAGAGAGAGAGAGAGAGAGCTTGGTGACATTTGGATCCAGACTCGACATTGGACTTCAGACATATCGAAGAGGGATTATTTGGGATTTGAAACGAGACTTGGTGTTGACGACTTTTCTATCTCCCCCTTCCTCTTCTTCGTCTGATCGCCTCCTCTTCGTCTGTGTATGTCTGGACCTGGCGCCTCTTTCCTGTGTATAGCGCCGGGCTCCTTCACACCTTGGGATGGACATGATGCATGTTTGGTCTGCGTTTAAACATTGATTGGGCTAGTCATTTGCATTCTAGCATTCTGCTTCGCTATCTTGTGCTACGTGAATGAGGTCAGTCCCGGTCAGGTCAGGACTTGTATCTAAAGTCTTCCCTGCGCTATAAAAGCATCATTTCGTATATATCGGAATGCACGTTGCTTGTTGAGATTCTACTTGCACTGCCGTGTCCATTCAGTCCTTTTTATCACATTGTGGATCCTCAGTTATTATGTACATCGCCCAACTGGGCATGTAACAGTTGGTATCGGAGCTCCACACGTGAATCAGGACAACCTGATCTGACACGTGTGCGGGGACTGAGTAGCTGATTAGTCTTGATTGATTGATTAGAGCACACTAGTTAGCCCCCAAAATCACGATTTTGACCTCACTGCCGAAAATCGAATTTTTTTTTCTTTTCTTAGATTTTGTTTTCTCACTATCTCAGTTGTGGAAAATCGCAAGAGCGCAACATCTGAAATTTCCGATTTCGTTTTTCTTCTGAAAATTCGAAATTTCGTTGTTGAAAATCCGGAATATCTTTTTTTCAAAAATTTTGATTTCCTGTTGCAATTTCCCGTTATTTAGAAAATCCGGAATATTTTTATTCCGAAATCCGTTTTTTATGAAAACGGTTCGGGAATCCCTCTTGCAGTTAGCATTCTCCAAACTGCGCGTACTCTCATCTGTGTAATTCCGAATTTTTTTTTGTACTTCATTTTCGGAATTCTTTTATCAGAAAGTCATTTGCGGTCTGAAAGTTCGAAATTTTTTCTCATTGATAATTTCGCACTTCAAGGGAATTGGGGGGCCTACCGAACTCGCAAACGAGTATTTTTTCTTTTTTCTCGAATTTTTGCAAAGTTCAAACTGTTCTTTTTTTATTAGTGGCTCCTTATCAGGGCGATTTATCCCACCCCTCCCCACCTATGTTGTTGTGCCCTCTGGTCTTTTCTCTATCTCCCTCTGGGTACCCCCTGCAACGGCATTGGTAAGTTGCCACGTCAGCAGGCCACACGGCAGCAGTGCCACGTCAGCAACCAGTCCCGGCGGCAGCAGGACACGTCAGTGCATGGTGCTCACCCGCTCAAAGACAAGCGGCATGGAGCAGCAGTCAGGCGAGACTACCGAGGCCTATGAGGCGCGCATGCTGGACATGGTAGCAGACTACAAGCAACGGGCAGCTGCGGCAACATCCGTACGTAAGAAGGAAGATGAGGACGTAGGGGAACAGCGTCGCCTCGCTGAACAGCAGCGACAGGCGGACGCTGAGGCAGCAGCAACGGCCGCAGACGAACGTCGTCGACTACGCCGAGACAAACTCCTCGGATGCGAGGGGGATATCGAGGTGATCGCTGGCGAATGGGCAGTGGCTGCTGAAGAGGAGGGTGCCCCCTCTGCTGTGCGTGGCCTTGCAACCACAATCGAACATGTGAGCGACTTGGTCGCCACCTGTGCAGCACAGCAAGAGGACATCCTTTGCATGGACACCCTGGTCCGGAAGCAGATTCGCGTTATTGATGAACTGCTTGACCGGGTACGTCGGCTGGAACAGCAGCTTGTATCAGCCACCCCCGCCGGACCTTCCAACTTGACGGACCGCGTCAATGTCTTGGAAATCGACGTCGAGACTCTCTAGGACGGCGCCGTAACGACAAATTAGCGGATTGACCAGCAGATTTGTGCTGCCGCAGCCAGTCCGACCCCGACCAATCGCGAGAGCATCCCGAAGTTTGACGGCCTCCCTATCTTCTGTAATGCAACGAAGATGGACCCGATCCCATGGTGGCGACACTCCGAGTTGAAGTTGGACATTCACCACGTCATCAACCCGAACCGGCACACATACTTATACTCCCGCTCGGGAGGCGCGTGCCAGGCATGGCTGGACAACATGTTGTCCATGCACAACGTCGCAGTCTCCGAGCTGCATACGAAGATCAGCTGGGCTGATCTCAAGGCAGCATGGCATAAGCGGTTCCAAGTGGAGCCGCCCGAGCTTCAGGCAGCCAAGAAACTTCAACAGTTCTATTAGAACGACCTGCCAAGCACGGACTGGATCACCGAGTACCAACGCTTGGCATCCACACCCAACTTGTCGTTGACATTTGTCGCTATCAAACACTTCTTCATCAGGAGGAGTTGTCCGACGTTGCAGAACGCCTTGACGCAAGTTGCGGAGACGCTCACCACAAGTGAGCAGCTCTTTGATAAAGCCTCGCAGATCATCCTGACGAACATCGGAGCCAAGAATTTGGGCCATTCGTCTGCTGCAGGTCAGGGCAGAGGACAGCATCGGCCGAAAGTGGCCATGGTTGCAGCAACTATAGCGACCGACCCTGCAAACGAGACTGCCTCTTCTGAAGAAGGAGACAAATTGGCAGCCGCCTGGGATGGTGGCCACCCCGCCAGAGGGCGAGGACGCGGCAAACTGAAGACACACACCAAGTCATCCCCCGGGGTCGGACCAGCGGCTCAAGAGCCTTGGACACATTACGGTATCTCGGAAGGCGTATACTGCATCCGGTCTAAGTACCGATACTGCTTGTGGTTCAACAGTGCGGTGCACGACACCACAACGTGGCCCACACCGGTCCAGGGCTCCAAGCCAAATCCCCTTCGAGAAAGTGAGCACCACCAAGAGTGATGCGCTGCACTCTCGACGCCTTCGGAATCGGTTGCTTCGCGAGCGACCTCTCTTCATTTCGAGGCACATGAGGAAGTCAACAGTCCTCTCTTGTATTCTTATGAGGACTATGCTGCCCGGCTCGTTCCTTCGTTGGGTTCTCAAGCTCAAGGACAAGATGTGTGTGCGGCTTCTTCTCCGTCTGGCAATAACAACAATGGATCGACTTTAAGTGGTTCTTCAACGGATTCGACGCACGAGTTCAACATAGAGGTCTTGGGTCCGTTGACGTCCGAGGATTTTGCATGGCTTCCTCTCCCTTCCACAGGCTGCTTGCCGGGACCGCAATGCGCAGCACTATGCGCCCATCTCCACACATACTTAGCCTTTTATGCACCACCATCTTCGCCAGCGGATGACGAAGCTGCGGTGGGGGACATCCTTGCGTATGTTACCAAGGTGGCCCGCGAGTTTCGCATGCAATGGTACGATGATAACAACGCACCGCTCCTTTATGTCCGCATCCAAGTTGGGCAAGTGTCCTGTAGCACTTTGCTGGATCGCGGCACGACTTACAATTTCATCAGCCAGTCCTTTATCCAAAGGGCCGGCCTTGGCGCTCAAGTTCGAAGGAAGCCAAACCCGACGACGATCAAGTTGGCGGACGGTTGGATGCAACAACTCCTCGATCGCTACATTGAAGCCGTGCCGGTTTATTTCGCACCTCGTACCTGCGAACCGGTGACGTTTGACGTCTTGGACACGGACTTCGACATTATATTGGGGATGCCTTGGCTTGCAAGTGCGGATCACATGGTTAACTTCCATCAGCGGACATTTACCGTTCGCGACGCCTTCGGCGCCAAGGTGCCGTGTACCATTCCTCTTCCGCACTCCTCGATCCGGTGCCAAGTTGTAACGACCAAGTCTTTTCGGGCCACTTGCGCTTACGAGCGGACCGAGGAGATAGGCCTATGTTTTCTACGAGCCACCGCGACGACCGAATCTTCACCTACGGACTTCTCTTTGGACCCTCGAGTGGCGCGGCTTCTCGACGAGTTCACCGACATCATCGAGTCTCCTACGGGTGTGGTGCCTGATCGGCCGATCTCCCACAAGATCATTCTTGAGGCTGCTGTCGTGCCGCCGAAAGAATGCATCTATCGCATGAGCGAGGAGGAGCTTGAGATTCTCCACGCTCAACTCGACGATCTTTCGGACAAGGGCTGGATCCGCCCTAGTAGCTCACCATACGGTGCGCCAGTTCTCTTCGTACGCAAGAAGAACAAGGATCGTCGCTTGTGCATCGACTACCGCAAGCTCAACGCACATACCGTCAAGAATGGGGGACCTCTTCCGCGGATTGACGACCTTCTCGGCGTTTGGGCAGTGCAAAATTCTTCTCAAAGTTGGACTTGAAGTCGGGCTACCATCAAATCTCGATACGCCCGCAAGATTGCTACAAATCCGCGTTCAAGACGCGGTACGGGCATTTTGAGTGGATCGTTATACCTTTTGGCCTCACGAATGCCCCGGCGACCTTTCAAGTGGCAATGACCAACGAGTTCCGTGCGATGCTGGACCGGTTCGTACTAGTCTACTTAGACGACATCCTCGTCTATAGCCGGATATTAGAGGATCATATTGAGCACCTTCGACGAGTGTTGGAGACGCTCCGCCGCGCCAAGCACAAAACCGCGACAAGTGCGAATTTGTCCGGCAAGAGCTGGAATACTTGGGCCATTTTGTCACACCGGAGGGCATTAGTCCGTTGTCGAACAAGATTCAAGCCATCCAAGAGTGGCCGGAGCCGAAGACTGTCACAAATGTTCGTTCCTTCCTTGGCTTAGCCGGCTACTATCAACGCTTCATCAAGGGCTACTCGAAGATCGCGGCTCCTTCATCCAAGCTTCAATGCGAGGACCGGCCATTCAACATCGATGACCATGCACAGACTTCATTTTTGGCTCTCAAAACCTCATTGCTATCCGCGGAGGTGTTGCGCATCTACGATCCGCTTTTGCCGACACGTGTCACTATCGATGCGTCCGGCTATGGCATTGGTGCCGTCCTCGAGCAACATGACGGTGTGGACTGGCACCCGATCGAGTACTTTAGCAAGAATGTGTCCGCCGTACACTCGATTGACGACGCACGGAAGAATGAATTATTGGCCTTTGTACATGCGCTCAAGCGCTGGCGGCATTTTCTTCTCGATCGACAACAGTTCCGATGGGTAACAGATAACAATCCATTGGTCTTCTACAAGACCCAAGACATGGTCAATAACATCATTGCCCGTTGGATGGCCTTCATCGACCAGTTTGACTTTTTCCCCGACAACATTCTGGGCAAGTCAAACCGTTTTGCGGATGCTCTTTCACGACGTCTGAACCATTGTACCGCAGTCTACTCAACTGTTGAGATTAACGACGACTTGCGAGACAGCTACATCCTCGGCTACCAAGTCGACCCCGAGTTTTGCGACAAGTACGCAAATTGCTCCTCTCCTAATCCGGTGCCTTCTCACTACTGGATTCAAGAGGGGTACTTGCTTGTCCATACGCGGGGAAAGGACCTTCTTTGCGCACCGAGTGATCCTTACTTGCGTACACGGCTTCTTGGCGAATTCCAAGATGCTCTCGCCACCGGACACTTTGGAGTCAATCGCACGATTGGCCGACTTCGCGAGCGATTTTGGTGGCCAAGCCTTCTCGGCGGCGTCACACGCTATTGTGAGTCACGCGAGGTTTGCCGACGCTGCAAATCCCACAACCATCGTCCGAACGGCGAGTTACGACTATTACCGGTCCCTTTGAGGCGAATGGAAGTGATTGCCATGGACATTACTGGGTCGTTCCCCAAGCACAAAACCGGCGTGGATGGAATTCTCACGGTGGTCGACCGACTTACCAAGTTCGCCATGTTTTTGCCTTGCCGCTATCATGCCAAGGCACCGGAGTTGGCCGAGGTTCTCTACGCCGGTTGGATTTGAACCAAGGGTTACCCCAAGGAAATCGTCTACGACCGCAACACTCAGTTCATGTCCGATTTTTCGTTAGCGCTCATCAAGCGATGGGGCTCATCTCTCAAGCCCAGTTCAGCTCGCCACCCCCAGACTGATGGCCAACAGAGAGGGCGCACCAGACCGCACAGGTACTCCTTCACACTCTCATCCGTCCTGACCAGAAGGATTGGGTTAAGTGGCTGCCGGATGTCGAGTTGGCCTACAACCTATGAAACACCCGCGGACGCGTCCGCGGGGTCGAGCTCGGATGGCCGCCGTATATACGGCCGCGGCCGACCTCGTCCGCGCCGCGGAGGCGAATTTATCATATTTTTCTTGAATTAAATAATGGGTAAAAAAAAAAAAAAACGGGGTTGTAAGGATTTTTAATCCCTACAACCCGATTTTTTTTTTTTTTGGAAACAGACAAGTTTTTAGAATTATAAAACATAGAAAACAGAAAAGGTGGAGAAGAGAAATTCAAAAAAAATAAAATTAAAAAGTTTTTTTTTGAGCGGGGGATTTTTGGTTGG